GGGTCCAACATCAGCAGATTCCGAGGAAAATTTAGCAGATATTCTCACATGCTTTACGTTCATTATGACCATATCAGCTTTCCTCAAAGGGTGGGGTGCACCACTCCCCCTTTCCCCAATAAAACTTGCAGACTTGGGTTGCTTATTCCCTGTAAATTCAACTCGTAAGTATCAAGTCTTCACAAAGATTCAATTATAAGTATCTTTTGAAGTCATTATTAACTACTCATAAATATAAATCAAGAATTTTTTAAACATTTACCATGCCGTCAATTCAATTTCTCCAATGAACCTTGGAAACTTTCTTAACTGAGTCTTACGATAAACTATGTCATGATTAAAGAATTTTTCTGAAGATAAGTAATTACCATCGTTTTCAGTTGCCCTAATGAACCTTGGGGACCTTCTTAATTGATTCCCACCATAAATCATGCCACAATTTTGGAATTTCTTGATAGATCCACCACTACCAGCATTTCCAGTTGCTTCAATGAACCTTGGAGACCTTCTTAGCGGCTTCTTGTTAACACCATTATTTCCAGCTTCTGGTCTCTTGGCAGACACTCTATGACAATAACATGCATAGATGTATTAGCATAAAACTACAACAATAATGTGATAATTCTAAATAGTGAAAGATTTCACTTACTTCGGAGTCAAGCATTGATGTTTGGAGCTGTCTATCTGCATAATCAACGGAAAAAACCAACTCATAGCTAAGATTGATAAGTTATCTAAATCAAATCCATTACCAATACGGCAATCAAAAATTGGATCTTTTTTTCTTGTGTGTATACAGTAGCAATAGAATCCAAATGGGTAAAGTTCTAAATTCCTATAGCTCAGTTCTTTTATTCACTATCACCAACAGTAAATTAAAAAAAAAAAAAAACTTTGGCCTACATTGAAAAATCAAGAATCACCCAGAACCTGACATGCAATATCAGCAAACACACTGCCAATTTTAGCAACTATAGGCGAAACAAGAAATGTAGCTAAAAAGAGTTGCAAAAAGAATGAACCAAGAAATTAAGTAGGCAGCATTTAAAGAAAAAGCAAAATAATAAAAATAACAAGACCCAGAAGAGAAGAGTCAAAGAAAAGATGGTAATTACTGTTTCTCCGCCATTTTCAGCGCAGGGAAGTGCATGCGGACTCGGGGATGTTTCAAAGCATTTTTCAGCTGGACAAAGCAATGGCAGCTGAATTTCACTGCAGATTTCAGTGCAAAATCCGTTTATAGGCACCAGTTGCTCTTCTTCTTGTTCGCCATTACCGTTTTCGGGCAATGTAGGAGATGAGGACGATGGTTTCGACGTGGATTCCGGCATGGGTTTGATCGGTGACTCCATATTCCACCTGTTTCTTTTTCGTTTTATTCCATTGTTCAATTACAGAGGGGAAGTTTTGTCGGGTGAGAATTGAGATCTGACGTATTACTGAAACGTTGTCCGGGTAAATTAGTTTGTTAGGCTCTGAGTAGATTATTTTTATGATGATTTATTAATTTACGGAAATAGGTAATATCCAAAAAAAATGAAGATAATTAAAGTGTCGACACGTAATAAATATTCAAGTTTGATATTTCTTACACAAATAATTTAATATACCAAACAACGTTACGGAATTCACTTTAAAAAAAAAACATAAGAATAAAGAAATATACGGGAAATAAAGAAATCTATCATCTACTCGCAATCTTTCTGCGGATCGAGTTCTGAAACCTGGTCCTCTTGATCTTAAATAGTTAAATAAGATATTAGCTACACTAACTCAGTAAAGATATCACATTATATCATCGACACAAAAATAAATATTTGTATAAAATCAACACACTAATGGAGTACTTAATTTAAATAAATTCGTTTATCATAAATAAAATCATTTACCGTTCACTTACCGTAGTGGTATTCATAAAAATAATCTATGCAGACAATTAATATTATACATATCATAGTTTCATGTAAAATCAGCAACATAGCACATATCACAAGTCTATATACATCGTCAGTAAACCAAACAATAACTGTCACTTTTTAACCAACCCTAATATCCATGAGGGTTCATTGGGATGTCACCGCCACACGCGAACTCTTTCCTTTAACAATCTCAATTACGGGCTATCCTTATACCTCATCCAGTATGAGCGTCAAATTATTAAACCTCAATACCCCGTCTGGTATAAGGGTAGAGCGGGTCGTCCCCATACCCCGTTCGGTATGAGCGCCAAATTATCATGTCTCCATATCTCGTCCGGTATGAGACAACATTCACAATAGGGTTCTCTATGTACCCGGTCCGTCCACCATCTCCCAAGATATCCAGTAAAGCTGTTGTCTTCGTCTATTCATTTTATCACACAACTTTCCCATTTTCTGTTAGTCTCCATTTTCCAAATCAACTATAATCACACAAACAAACAAACATGCATCAGGAAATACAATCATATCTCAATTTTTCAACTAAACGGTGATCACATAAGGCAGTAATACATGCATTCAAACCATAAAATTGATAAATTAGATAGTATCATGCCTTTAAACTGTAAAATAAATCAATATAAATCAACATAGAATAATTTCTGATTTTGGCTCCATTAGCAATCCGTAATTAATTAAGAACATTTATTAAATTCGCACAAAATACTATATTATTATTTATTTAAACTTTAATTCTATGATAGAGAATGAGGTGAGGGATCCTTACTCGATTTGATGTTCGAAAAGCTAAACTGTTCGACTGCGCCTACGGGTGATTTTTGAGTTCCCTGAATTTTTCTTCGGGAATTAAAACGCGCTAATAATACATACAAATATCTTAAACAAACCTAAAATAAGTCATGTGGCCCACTTGGCATATTTCGGAATTCTAGCACGGCGGCTCCGTCGTGCTTCGACGACGACATCGTCGCCTGAAGGCTGTAGTCCGTCTCGGATCGGCTATTTTCGGTTGATTTTGCATCGATCTCTGCGAGAAAAACTTAAAGGGTCTCGGTTGGCCAAAAAATACAAAAAACTGAAACTCACCAGCTGCGGGGCTCTCCGGTGCGACAGCACCTCCGACTCAAGTTGCAGTTGGGTGATTTGCTCCGGTCAACCTATAGAAAAGGACACATTGATCACAATGGTAGAAAAATTACACATAACGGGAATCGAGAAGGGCGTGATCGGAGGCGTTTTGTGAAATTCTCCGCGGTGGCACCGCCGGATTTCGCCGATGTTTTCCAGCCAATTAGCCGGTCTTTTTGCTCCGATTTGGGTATGGGTGAGCTTAAAATTGAATTTCGAGCAAAAAAAAGTTTTACCTTTTTTTGCTGTCGAAAAGGGTTCCGGTGCGGCGGCGGGTGGCGGCGGCTCCTTCCCGGTGGCCAAGTCTTCTTCTCCAGGGAGGGGTTCTGGCTGCTAGGGTTAGGGTTTGGTGCGAATGGGAGTTATTTATATCCGTTTGCTTTTGATCTGGGTCGTCATTCGCGTTTAATTTAGACCGTCCGATCGCGATTAAATAGGGAGTGAATCTGGACCTTCATCGCGATCCAATCTGAACCGTCCAACGCGATCTAATCTGGACCATCCGATCGCGTTTGAATCTGGTCGTTCGATCGTGTTTGGGAGGGAGCGCATCCAGGCCGTCTGTGCGCGCTGGAACGGACCTGGGCTGTTCGATCGCAGTCACGCGGATCGCCCGCGTGGCTCCCCGTGTAGCAGCGCATCACCGTCCGTTGCCACAAGGTGCATCCTGGTTTGTCGGGGCTGCTGATGGGGCATCCTATGTGGTAATTTTTTTTAAATTATGTTTTAACCCCTAATTTTCGATTTTTCTTTCAAAAATACCCCAGAACCAAAATTTTTACCCATTTTCGCCAAAATTGCTTTTAATTTCATCCTTCATCAATTTTACTTTCTTTTTTACTCTAGATTAAAATTAAAAATTGAAAAATTAAGAAATTATATTTATAATTAAATCTTAAATTACATTAAAATTAAATTTAGGGTATTACAACTCTCATCCCCTTAAAAGAAATTCGGTCCTTCAAATTTATCTCTCTTACTCTCAATCAATCAACTTGGGATATTTGACTCTGGAGCCTGATTCTAGCTCCCATGTGGCCTCTCTCGGTGTGTGATTCTGTCATAGGACCTTAATAAAGGGAATTTCCCTGTTGCGGAGTAATCTGCTCTTTCGGTCAACAATGCCGACCGGTACTTTTTCATAAGACAGATCCTCTTGAAGTGAAAGAGGCTCGTGGGCCAAGATGTGAGAGGGATCCGAATTGTACTTGCGTAGCACAGACACATGAAATTCATTATGGACCCTGAAAAGTTCTGGAGGCAGTGCCAGTCTGTAGGCGGTAGTACAAATTTTATCTAAGATTTCAAATGGTCCAATAAATCAAGAATTCAGTTTCCCCCTCTTGCCGAACCTACTGATTCCTTTGAAGGGAGTGACCTTGAGGAACACCCGATTGCCTTTCTCAAATTCCAAATCCCTCCTCTGTGTGTCCGCATAGCGCTTCTACCTGCTCTGAGCTGTCTGAATGTTCTTTCTCATCTTAACTATTTTGGATATAGTCTCCTCTATTAGATCTGGGCCGAACAGTTTTCTATCTCCTCTACCAGATCTAGGCCGAACAGTTTTCTATCGTCTACTTTTTTCCAACAAATTGGCAATCTGCATGGGCGCCCATATAACGCCTCATACGGAGCCATACCAATACTCGTTTGATAATTGTTGTCGTAGGCGAATTCTATAAGGGTAGATGGTCATCCTAATAGCTCCCGGAATCAAGAACACATGCTTGGAGCATATCTTCAAGTGTACAGATTGTCCTTTCTGACTGTCCATCGGTCTGAGGGTGGAATGCAGTAATAAGGGACAACTTTGTTCCTATGAGTTGCTGAAAGCTAGATCAAAACTGATAAGCGAACCTAGGGTCCCTGTCGGACACTACTGTCACTAGCACTCTATGTAGTCTGACTAT